AGTTATAAAATGAAAAGAAATAGAATAAATGATAATGAAGAATTAACAATAAATCAATGTTATACTAATAATAATGGAGAAAATGAATAAGAAATTATACAAATGAATAGATAATTAAAAATAAGAAATAGAAACACAAGAATATTTGATACATTAAGAATAAAAGAAGAGTAGAAATAAGAACAAATAGAAAGATGTATTGAATAAGAATAAACAAAGAAAGTAATTCAAGAGAATTCAAATAAATAGAAATAAAAGATAATATATGTGAAATACATATAATAAAAGATAAAAAGAAGAAATAATCATATAAGGTCAAGAGAATTAATAGATAATATAAATTATCAATTAAATGATTTTACAACAATATAATATAAAGATCAATAATAAAGAATAATAAAGAATGAATAAAAGAAAGTTATAATTATCAATGAACATAATTTAAATGTATAAAGGAAATATAATAAGAAAAAGAATGAAATTTAACAATTTAAATTAAAATAATTTTATAATAACAATCAAAATAAAGTAATAATTATAAACAAAAAGAAATAAATCAAAATAATTGAATATTTTAATCAATTTATCATTGTGTTTTTAATAATGACATCAGTTCACTTTTGTTGTTTATTTTATTATTTAAATTGATTTATTATTATTATTCTTTTTGTTGAGTTATTTCTTCAAACAATTTATTTTATTTTAAATAACAAGGTTAATAAAATTATTTTAAATAAATGAAATACATCACATCTTCATTTTCTATATTTTTATAGATTAAGAAATGTCAATATCTGAAATTGTAACATGTTTTTATATTATGAACAAATATGATTGTGAATATAATATAAATTATAAAAGTTGAAAATATAATTTAAAGAAGATTAATTGAATTTAATAATAAACAATAAGATAGTCAAAATAACTGATATCCAAAAGTATTATATAGATTATAATCAGATGAAGTTATGAATTATTATTAAAAATAAAATAAATCATTCCAATGATTAATATCTGGTTTATTTACATCATTTTACTTTTCATCATTACAATTTAATACTTTATTAAACATACTTAACACAATATGAATTTTATTCATTTCATGAAAAATAAAAATGATTGTTACTAATTTCATTTTATCTGTTTTATAACAATTCATTTTATCATAACTATTATCAAATTGAAAGAGATGAACATCTGTTATTGAAATTAAAATTATTTAATTAATTATCATTTGAATCTGAAATATTTTTATGAATAAAGAAATTAATAAAAATGAAAATAAAGAGATTGTTATTTTGAAAAAGAAGGAAAAGTGTTCTTGTTGTGAATAAATCAGATTTTAAATAAGAATTATTACAAATTTTATCTTTTGCTTTTTATTATTTATAAAAATTTAAATATTGGATTATTATTTTTTAATAATTATAATTATTAGGTAGTTTACTTCTTATCAAAATCAAATTTCATTTATGGTATATTTTAACATAATGAATGAAGAATAAACAAACTTCAATAAATTATGTGTTGTGTTTTCAATAAAAACAAATTAACACTTAAATAAAATAGTTTTATCATAAAACTCTTATTTGTGATTATTTTTATTCAATTTCTATTTATAAAACAACAAACATCATTTCATATATTGAAGGTATTTAAATAAATCAAAATATCTGACTATTATCAATGAGTATAAAAGGATTGAAACAAACTAAACTACTTTTAATTGGAGAAACATGTGTAGGTAAAAGTTCATTAGGTAATTTTACCCTTAAAAAGGATGTTTTCTAAGTAAGCAGCAAACCCCAATCAGAAACAAAATAAGCTGATGAATGTTCTGGAGAATATGATAGAAGTGATGTATTTGTAGTATTATTTCTGGTCTTAATGGTTTGAGAATTTTGATATAATGAAAATATTCAAAATATTATTGAATGTGTTAA